TTAAAAACGGATAAGGTGGTTAATAGGTTTGAGATGAACATAAAAACCAGAACAGGCAACCATCAACAGGCTTCCCCCCAGGCCCCCTACTTTCTCCATTTTTTGGGGGTGGGGGGTTTATATAATAACCATTCTTGTTTTTGGGTGGGGGGGGTGGGGGTTCAGAAAATAACCATGGTTTCTTTCTCTTGTGCTTTTTGATTGTTTGTTTGTGTGATTGTTTTTTTGGGGGTGGTTCACATACTGTAATAACCAGTGTTCCTTTTGTCTTGTGTTTCTGTCTTTTTTTGGGGGTGGGGGGGGGGGGTGGGGTTTATATAATAACATTCTTGTTTGGGTGGTGGGGGGGTTCAGAAAATAACCATGGTTTCTTTCTCTTTTGCTTTTTGATTGTTTGTTTGTGTGATTGTTTTTTTGGGGGTGGTTCATATACTGTAATAGCCAGTGTTCCTTTTGTCTTGTGTTTCTGTCTTTTTTGGGGGTGGGGGGGGGGTGCGGGGTTTATATAATAACCATTCTTGTTTTTGGGTGGGGGGGGGTGGGGGTTCAGAAAATAACCATGGTTTCTTTCGCTTTTGCTTTTTGATTGTTTGTTTGTGTGATTGTTTTTTTTGGGGGTGGTTCATATACTGTAATAGCCAGTGTTCCTTTTGTCTTGTGTTTCTGTCTTTTTTGGGGGTGGGGGGGGGGGTGCGGGGTTTATATAATAACCATTCTTGTTTTTGGGTGGGGGGGGTGGGGGTTCAGAAAATAACCATGGTTTCTTTCTCTTTTGCTTTTTGATTGTTTGTTTGTGTGATTTTTTTTTTGGGGGTGGTTCATATACTGTAATAGCCAGTGTTCCTTTTGTCTTGTGTTTCTGTCTTTTTTGGGGGTGGGGGGGGGGGTGCGGGGTTTATATAATAACCATTCTTGTTTTTGGGTGGGGGGGGTGGGGGTTCAGAAAATAACCATGGTTTCTTTCTCTTTTGCTTTTTGATTGTTTGTTTGTGTGATTGTTTTTTTTGGGGGTGGTTCACATACTGTAATAACCAGTGTTCCTTTTGTCTTGTGTTTCTGTCTTTTTTGGGGGTGGGGGGGGGGGTGCGGGGTTTATATAATAACCATTCTTGTTTTTGGGTGGGGGGGGTGGGGGTTCAGAAAATAACCATGGTTTCTTTCTCTTTTGCTTTTTGATTGTTTGTTTGTGTGATTTTTTTTTTGGGGGTGGTTCATATACTGTAATAGCCAGTGTTCCTTTTGTCTTGTGTTTCTGTCTTTTTTGGGGGTGGGGGGGGGGTGCGGGGTTTATATAATAACCATTCTTGTTTTTGGGTGGGGGGGGTGGGGGTTCAGAAAATAACCATGGTTTCTTTCTCTTTTGCTTTTTGATTGTTTGTTTGTGTGATTGTTTTTTTTTGGGGGTGGTTCATATACTGTAATAGCCAGTGTTCCTTTTGTCTTGTGTTTCTGTCTTTTTTGGGGGTGGGGGGGGGGTGCGGGGTTTATATAATAACCATTCTTGTTTTTGGGTGGGGGGGGTGGGGGTTCAGAAAATAACCATGGTTTCTTTCTCTTTTGCTTTTTGATTGTTTGTTTGTGTGATTGTTTTTTTTGGGGGTGGTTCACATACTGTAATAACCAGTGTTCCTTTTGTCTTGTGTTTCTGTCTTTTTTGGGGGTGGGGGGGGGGGGGTGCGGGGTTTATATAATAACCATTCTTGTTTTTGGGTGGGGGGGGTGGGGGTTCAGAAAATAACCATGGTTTCTTTCTCTGTTGCTTTTTGTTTGTTTGTGTTTTTTTGGGGGGGTTCATATACTGTAATAACCAGTGTTCCATTTTCTTTCTTTTTCCCCAACAGCTGAAAGCTTTGGGGTCTCAGCCCAGATAGGCTCCGGGGTGGTCCGGGGCGGCCCTGAGGTAAGGTTCCGCGAGGGTTCCACGAGGTTCTTCGAGGGCTGCGGGGTGGTGCGAGCACTACAAAGAGCACCGCATGCTGTTGGGGATGTCACCTGAGCTTATCTTTTCCTTTTTTCGTTTTTTTTTTTTTTTGGGGGGGGGGGGTGGGGGTTTATATAATAACCATTCTTGTTTTTGGGTGGGGGGGTGGGGGTTCAGAAAATAACCATGGCTTCTTTCTCTTTTGTTGATTGTTCTTTTTTTTGAGGGGTGGGGTGGGGGGGGGGGGGGTGGGGGTCCATATAATATCTATTCTTTTGATGGGCGTTGAATTGTAGGGACCATTCAGAGACTGGGGGGTTCATACAATATCCATTATTTTGTTTTTTTTGGGGGGCAAGTTGTAACCCCGAGCAAATCACTCGAGAATGTACTTAGTTTCCCACCAAGCCCTGCTCTTAACCCCGTCAAGGGAAACCACAGAAGCCACTCGAGAACAAAAAGCTGACTCCCCCAAGAAGGCAAACGTTGTGCCTGGGGGGTCCCGCAAGACCTTGGCCACGTCCTTCCAGCAGAAGAGGCCTCAGCTTGAGGCAGAAGAGGCCCTGACTCCGAATGTCACTCTCAGATGCCCAGTGGATTTTCAACCAGCCCAGAGGTAAGGAATTCCCGGCCCCGGGGATCAAAGGACATGGGAACCCAGCGGATTTCCATGGGGAGAAAAGAAGCGGCATCGGCATCAGGGCCTCCGATCTTTTGTAGGGTTGGTTGACTTTAAAGGGAAACCCGTAGCCAAAAAAAGAAGAGGAAAAAAGGAAGCAACCCACTGGGCAGCTGGGTGATCCAGTGGCTTGGCCAAAAAAAACCTCCAAACCTTTTGGGTTGCCGCCCAGATGGTCCAAACCACAAATGTGACGACCAAAAAGTGACTAAAGTCCAAGACGGAACGCAGGAAGCGAGTATCTGTTGGCGCGGCTATCCACATTGCGTCAACCTTTAAATTGTATTCAATATGTTGGAGTCAACTTTAGACATGGAATTTGTCTGGAGACCCCAGTACAAACAAGTGGCTCAAGCATCATACAAGCAGAAACCCCAACACTAAAACAGGAAGAAGCAAAGAATGCCCAAGGCGAAGGTGCGCTTTGGTAGCAAAGACGCAAGGAAGGCAACCAGGAGTGAAGCGCCAATTCTTCTTGAGTCTTGCTTCGAAACAAATGCCGCGCGGTACTTGTGTAACAGCTCTGCAAAACGTGTTGAAACTGCGTTGATCGAATGGATTGGTCTCACGTGATCTTCCCAACCCCAAGTCTCTAGATAAATCATCATGGAACCTCCACACATGAGGGATCTCATGGCTGAATATGAAGCCAAAAGGACCTCGGGCAACTTTTGCTGGTACACCAAGCAATGTGAGAAAACTGGGCTGCCCTCAGATCCCCTGCTGAAAGTTTAACTTTTAGTGGGTCAAATGCAACCCCCCACTAAACACTATACACTAAAAGTCTAAAGAGCTAAGGGGATGGCTGGGAGCCACCAAGAAAACCGACACATGTTGAACACCAAGCAGCTAACTTTTGCCGGGCATATGGTTTCTTCACCAAAAGGGCGGAAAACGTGAAGTCTGGCAATGCTTTGCACGCAGTGCAATCTTGGAGCCCCCGCCATCCTTCTCTTGCCTCATATTTTTTTGAGGAGAAAAGCCGGCCAAAGAGAGCCGTCATTGGTTTGAGCTGAGACTATGCCGGTCGTTTTATTGCTGCAAATGGGATAGAGAATCCCCAACAAGAGTTGGGGTTGTCTCTAAATGTGGAAACTCTTAAAACGGGTGGTTTCCCTTGGGTACCCTCAAAAAACACACCCAGGTCCGTTGCAACCTGCCCCATGGATGGGGAACCATACCAAGCTCGGCCAAAGTCCGATCTATGTATCAAACACATCTCATGTTTTGCGTGGATTGGTCAGAATATGTCTTTGCAAAACTAACATGATCTGCCCAAAAAGGTTTAAAGTCAGAAACTGGGGAACTGAACAGGATTCCCCCGGGAGTTTCTCCTCGACATCACCTCACAAAGGGAACTCGCATGAATGGGCCCAGAATGTGATGTTTAAAACAACCAAAGGGAAAGCTCACATGGACTCCCGAGGAATCTCCAGAGCCTGTTGCATAGGCTCTGGTCGATTGCGCTGATGACCTTCAAGGTTTCCCGTAGTTGCCCTTTCGGTCAAACAAATCCTGATTTGCCCATGTCGATTTGGGAGGAGCATGGGCTCGTGATATGTTGCCCAAAATCAGAAGGCCCAGATTTGCCCATGTCTATTGGCGTATTTTGTCCATAACCGTGGCTCGCAAGGGTATGGACTGACAGTTATCCCTTTCTGAGGGACCATGCCTGGCTCATCTGAAAGTCGTTCATCCACGGTCATGTTGAGTCAAATTGAGAACGCGGATGATGCCAATGGAGGGTGCCTTTGATACACACACACACACGCTCATCTTTCAACGAAGGCAGCTTGGGGACTTTGCTTTTGGCTTGAGTTGCGGCCCTTTTTACGGTCTCGACTCGCCGGCAATGCGCTCGAAGTGCACAGTGAAGCTGAGCTTCTCAGGCGGATTGCAAACTCTTTGGAACCCATGGGATTCTCTCGCAAATCTCCACGTGGCAGCCTACCTCGGCAAATGTGCAACCCTCATTCGGTCACATGGGTCGGACCATGTTCCCCCGCTTTCGCTGGGGCTGAGCCAATCGGGTCGGTTCTCGCGGCTCGGGGGCTCCGTGCAAAACCGCTCGAGTGGGGTCCGCGGGTGCGCAGCGAGAAACCAGAAATGAGCCTAGCTGCAAAGCATCGAGGTGGCAAGCTTCCAAGCGAATCAGCAAGACCTGGAGTGTCCATGACCCTTCAGACGTGGAGCCAACCCTTTCTTTTGGAACCTGACTCCATCCTTTAAGGGTCATGAGGAGACACTCCAGGTAGCCATATCTGGCTGGCTTCTTCTGCCCACTTGGGTGGTTGGCCAAGTGAGTAAGTTGTTGGTAACCTAGGTTATAGCCCACTTCTAAACCCTCCCTCGTGGGGTTAACCCTATTTTCGGGAATTGCAATTACCCCCCATTGGCTAGCCACTTACTAACCTGGCAACAAACATCCACGCAGGAAAATCCAGTTCGGGGGAGTCAGGTACACCCCGACCGCTGCTCCGCTTCTCCACGACTTCGCGATCACCGACTGCGCGTGTGTACCTGGGCTGAATCACCGGGAAGCCCAAAAATCCGTTTCGCGCCACTTTGAAACCATGGGAAACCATAGCTTGTTGGTATTTACAGGGGAATCATCACTCCGGTTTTTCTTACACGCTGAAAGATTTCGTCCATTCACGTATGTAGGTGTCTTTCTTTAGGGGAACCCTCACAATTGTAGATGTCCGTTTGGCTTCCATTTAAAGCAGCAAAAAAAAGGTGTCCTCCAAAACAACAGACCCATGTGGATGCGGTTTAAATTGCAAGTATTCAACCTGGGACTCTTTGATCATTTACATGTGGATTTATGTGCACTCACCAATTTGGAGGGGAGCCCAGTAAATCACCTTCCACACATCGCCTTCCCAATTGATGTCTGGAATGGAATTGTCCATCCACATCCAATTGGCCTGGGATATGGGCAGGGGTCAGCCTGGTGCCCAAGTCGTATTTAGATCCTGCGTCGAACTTGTCTCAACTGTTCAACCAAATTTAACAAAGGCACCCGTCTCAAAATCCTCTGCCCCACGGGCGGTTGCCCCTTTCCTTTTCAAACCAAAAGCGGGGGGTCCCAAAACCCCACGACCTTAACAGGGTACCCTTAAAACAAACACACACACACACACACACACGGCTTGACGTAAGCCCGGTAATTGTTCATCCTGCCGGACACGCACACAGAGATCGTCAAGTTTCCCTTGATGGTTTGGAGCTCGGTGCCTTGGATTGAATCTTGCCCTGGCTTTTGTAGAGGCTTCATGGGTAACTTCCCCGCCGAAAGACCACCGGCGACCCCAGTTCCAGCGTTGCTTGCTTCCCTCATCGGGCCGCTCCAAGTTCGCCGGCGACAGCCTCGCAGTTGCATCCGCGCCGAGCAGCTGTCCTGACTTGCCCAAAGGACCCAGATGTATAAGCTGATCACCTTTTGGGGCCATGACGAAAAATGGAAACCAAATCATGGAAACCAAAAGGTCAAAAGGTCGATTCGCTTTGGGCAAGTGAGTTTCCCGAAATGAGAAGATAGGATAGACGTCGAATTCTTAGACTCAAGCACTCTTCAAAAAAGTAGATAATAAAAGACTAGAAAGATGAATAACCCAAAGATGTCTATAAAATGCCAATTATAAAGGTGTATAGCATAAAATGTGAATTTCCCATGGTGCTAAACTTTTTGCAATGTAAGTAATACAAAGATAGGAGATGGAAATGATAATGACAGTGTGAAGAAGAAAGCAATACATAATACAGCATGAGGAATCAAGACATAATAAAATGACAATACAATATGCTTCTATAAAATAATTACAATTGAAGTGCACATATAAGATGTAGCGAGACAATAGACCGTGACACAATGACAATCAAATGTTAAACAATCATACAACATACACATATTTACGCAATCAAATAATTATTGTGGCGATGTTTTTTTAAAGATAGAAAATGAAATTGTTCCTGGACCCTCACAACTCCCTTACAAAATGGTGTTTGACCCATTTTTGTTGGGTGATGTCCTTTTTTAATGTGTAGTTTGAGGGTTCAGGTGTGTCAGAAACAGTTGCGGCCCCTCCAAAAGGAGTGGTTTCCTTGCGCTGCCGCACAAAACACCGATTGGAACAGGGAGAGCCGCAGTCAAACCACCAGTCGACCAATAATATTGCCACATATCTCAGATGGGTTTGGGTGGTATTTGTCTGGGTCCTTGAACGCCAGCCCAAAGCGGCTTTGAAAAAGCGGTTTTGAAAAAGCACGCCCAAGTCCTAAATCTGATGCAGTTTAAAACCTGTAAACTGCCCTTCAAGTTTGTCGATGTGCCTTTCTTTTGTGGATCCCATTCTTTTTCTCCGTGTGATTTCCTTTTCAAACCACAGAACACGGGTACCCTCAAAAAGAGACAACCCAAGTGAGTTCAAGACCCGACAAGAGGCCGCGGGCGCCCGTGACAGCGCAGTCCTTGATAGAACTCGACTTCCGCGCGCTACTTGGCATTGGCCAGTGCACGGGCCTCGGCTTTGTGCGACACGAGCTGCCGCATTGTCCAGAGGATCCAGTGGCAACTTTCTCCCGTGTTTTGCCAAACAAAGTGGCCAACGACTGTTTTCCGTTGGCAAAACCCGAAACTAACATGGTGCAAACCACTTTTTGTTCTGGCCTCACTAAAATGGTGCAAACCCGAAAAGTGACTCAAGTCCTGGAACTCGTAACTCAGGGAACATGGCGATCCCCCAATAAGGTTCGATCGACTCTCTGGGCGAATTGGTGGTGAGGTTGGAGACGGGTGGCTGACCATTTGCCCTTTGCAAAACGTGGCTCAGATCCCCAATCCACCAATCCAAAACCACCAATTGATGTAAGTGAGGGTTACCTGACTCGAAAAAGACACATTCATCATTGCTGGCTGCGGACAATGATTCACCAACTGCAACACTCACCAACCAAAGATAAGGACCCCCCCAAGAAAGGACCTTTCACTTCGGGTGACGTCGCAACCACCAAATCGACGTTGATATTAGCCCAAATACATCCATTAGGCGAGTGAAATTTAATCAGTGCACTTGTTCCGACAAACAACACTGGCAAAATAAGGGGGACAATTAGGTTCGATAACTCTGGCATAAGTATATAGAGAAACCACACGCATCCGCTAGCACAAGCAGACACAACCCCTCCACTGGCAAACATAAGGGATGGCGCATTCACGGGCGAACAAATTAAGAACATGGCAAACATAGGAAAACACATTCGCTAGCAACAAAAAGGAAAACACCCACTGACAAACAGAAAGGGAAAACGCTGACAAGGATAGCGAACAATCCACTGGCCCAACAAAGCAGGAAACAACAACTTGCAGCAATGGAGAAAATCAACACCCACTTGCAAAGAAAAAAACAGCGCAACCACTAGCCAAAACAAAGCAAGCATTCCGCCAGCCAAAAACGACAAGCTGCTTGTAACGTCCCTCACGCTAACAAGGAACCCACAACTTGACACTCCTCAGGGTACAAAGAAATTCGTATTTTCTGATTCTGTTCCATATTTGGACTACCCTCCCAGGATGCCCCCTTCTCGAGCCAAGGGGCACGGCGCCAGAGCAGCTTGTCCTATAATTAGGCAAGTCATCCATGATTCATTCCTTCTCCAGTTGTTTGGGCCTAAATTATTAGAATGGGGTCAATGGGGTACTTTAACACACCTAGTCTTGCCCGATGGAACCCAGGCAATAATCAGCCACCATAGTCAGAAATGGGGTCCAATTCCAAAAAATCAAAAAAAAACAACTCGGTGGCTGTGGGGGTTCCATGTTGATCGGCAGGGGGTAGTGTTGGGGAATGGCAGCCACCAAAAAGAGGAAGTCGCCCCAAACAGAGATCCTTCTGTGTCATCTTCCAAAAAGGGGTCTGTGCACATGCTATGCAATGCGTGGAGGAAGCACTCTGTAGTTGGGCAACGAAACTGTGCAGGCTGGAAGCGAAACCACTGTGAATTGCGTAGTTATACATACATCTGCCTATTTCATTGCGAGCTCACCCGGGGGTAGAACGAGCTCACTATGATAGTGATGCAATGCAGGCTTGGTCTGACTTGATTCTAGGATGCCAGCAAGCTGTATGTACAAATCCTGTCGGTCCTAGGCTTGTGCTTATTGTGGCTTTCCTTTTATCTTCCCTTTCAAACCACAAAATGGGGGTGCCCTCAAAAGGTGATGTTCAAACCACCCTCAGGCCAAGCCCAAAACGATCGTCTTCCCAAACCTTCCTGGCTTCGTGCTTGGGCAACCAACATCTCAGACACCTTTTAGGGACCCAGAACTAGAAGGCGAACCTGTTGGGGCCATGACTAAACAGAGACCAAACGCGGGAAACGAAAAGGTTAGCTCCTCTGTGGTGAGCTACACATGTACCTGGAACCCCAAAAAACAAAACCCAGAAAAACACCCCATTTCTGGAGGACAGAAAGGGAAAAAGGGGAAACAAAGGGAAAAACAGGTGTCCCGCCTGCTTCACACTCAGCTCCTTGAGGTCTGCCAGCAGGCTTTGCCTCATGTCCAGATCCAGTGGAGTTAGTCTCACTTCCAAGTGGGTTGATCAAACAAAGAATATTTGCTTGCCACTAAACTGGTCTTCGCAAAAAAGTGAATAACGTCCATGAATTCAGGGAGTTAGTTCTCTTAAGGTACCAGGGGCCTTATGACAGGTTGCACACCACTTCTGTTCTGTAGCAAGTCGCCTCAACTCCATAGCGGGCAACTAGCCATGTTCCGTGAGTTCTTTGAAGAGTGGGAGCCCCCGTGCTTCCCTACAAATGTGAACACCGGAAATAAGGAATGGACTGGATTTCCTGAGGTTCCCCTTGGTTCCGAACTTGCATTTCCCTAAGCTTTTTTACAATCTCTGGAAATGATGGAAATCACTTCCCAACGAAAACGTGTCCACTTGGCAAAATTCCCCACAGGCCAAGGCTCCTTCCAAGAGACTGCCTGCAAACATGATGCTCTGCTTGGGGCGATCGATTCTGTACGTCAGCCTTCCAACCACCATGTATGCCCCACGACCCCAAGACCGCAGCCATGAATGCCTCACTCACTGAAGTCAAACCTCCATGACTGACAGACATTTGAGTCAGCACCGCACTTGCGATCAAGTTGGTTGTTGGCCACAAACAGGTCACCAAACTGTGTGTTTCCCAAACATTGTGTTTGCCTTATAAAGAAAAAACAACAAACACACAAGTGTACCCTCAACACCGAAACGCAGCCACCTTTAGGGAGCCTTCCCTTGCTTTCATCTACCCAGGTCTTGATTGTAGCGGATAGTTAGAACCCGGCCCAAAAACACTCCGGGTTAACCTAAATCTCGCTTGAGCAGTGCCCAAAACGGGTTGGTGTTGATTCTATCGGGCCACCATGGCTACAACACTCTGCATCTATTTACCTGCTGCTATTTCCCCCGGAGTAGAAGAACCACCTAATTACCCAACCAATGACGGAAGCTCACCCGAAGGTGAGGGAGGACTGCTTTGCTTTTGCGGAACCTCCCTGTCTACTGGGCACAGTGGCCAATAGGAATCGGTTTTGGTGCTGTTGACATGGCCCGTGTTGGCGCGGCGTTTTGCTTCTTTTCCACATGGACAATTCGTTGGTGCATTCTCTACTTTACCGCTTTGCAGGGGATCAACGAAAGTTGCACCAAGTTTGGGGTGCCTAAAAAATGAAACATAAAAAACCGGGGACACCTATTTTGGTTGTTTCCTGTTTTTTTCTGTCGACCTGCTTGGGGTGTGATGTTTATTCGCTTAAGCCCCCTGGAACAAAAAACATATTTCCAGTAGTGAAATGGCTGTGGCAAACAAACGGCACCAAACCCTGGTACGTGGGAACATGGACCAAATTCTGCGTAACCTTTCCGGTTTCATTCTGGGCCACACTGAAATGGATTCCCCAACCCAGAGGGTCCCTTGGTACTTCTAAGGAGGTACTGAACGGCCCCTTTTTACCCTCCAAAAGCCATCCTCATAAGGTTCCAAGGGATCCTCTAAGTAAGCCAACACTTTAAAACCTGCGTAACCCCTCCGGTTTCATTTTGAGCCACACCCAAATGGGATTCCCCGAACCAACCAGGGGAATGTTTTCCGGCTCCATGTCCTTCAGGTCGTTTAAAACGTGCCGCCCGGGCGCTGGCGTTTCATGAGGCTGATGCCCTCTTGGAGCTTCACGGATCTGCGTCGGGTCCGAGGAACTGCCGAGTCGGGTTTGGGCGCCCGGCGGGGTTTCGGGGCGTTGGAAGACCTGGAGTTGCAGTGGAGTTGCGGAGTTGGGGTCTTGGAATGGAGTTGAGGAAGCTTCTAGGTGAGGAGTTGGGGTGTTGAGTTGGAAGTGAGCGGGAGTGTTGAGTGGGGGCGGGAGTGGGTTTGGTTTGGTTTGGCTCGGTGCCTTTTCCAAGTCAGGAACCCTTGGGTGGTTTGGAGCGGTTTGGATTTAGATTTGAAGCCCTGGTTCCTTGGCGAGACTAAATGGGAAACTTCTCCTGACCTCCAAACCAATTGGAGGGAAGCTGAGAACGGAAACCACCGAATTGCTGGCTAACTTGCTGGTGGTAAAATTAAAATAGATGCTCACTTCCTGAGTGGATTGGCCAACAAAAGTTAAGGCCGTGGGTCAAAAGACAATGCTACCATTTTGGGGTAAGCGCACCACCCATTTTAGTCTATTTTAGTGGGGATTGGGATGTTCACTGGGGGTACGGGCCTTTGACCCATGGCCATTTGTCACCCAAATGGTCGTTTGAAGTCCAGGAACTCGGGGAGCAAGGACAAGCAATTCCTGCTCATTTGATTTATTCGTCCCCACAGGCCCCTTTCAAACCAACCAACAGGGTATCATAAATTTTGCCCAGGCATGTTTCAGCTTGTTCAAACCATGCTTGTTTAACTGAGTGCGAAACAGGTCTGGACAAAAATGGACAACGCACCATTCCTGTTTGGATAAATTGAACATGGGCTATAGAGGACCATGGTGGGGTCCCCGGCATGCCTAGTTTAACTTTGGACAACCATTCTGGGAGACCATTCTTTAGTCTTAATGGGTTTTTTTTGCGGGGGGAATGTTCTATCCTGCAGTTAGGAAGAATGAAATCCTATGAAGACTGCTTGGTAAACCACCACTTCACACTGGTGCCGATGGGGGTGGTTTTCGTCCATCAGTGTGCTCTCCATATTCCAAGTGATTCCTCGAATTCGCTGGGTACTCGCAGGCCCGAACTCCATCCGAGGTGGGGGTCCATTCTCGTCCAGCGAGCCTCCAAGAGAGTCAAGCGCTGGTTTGGATTTGTGGCTTGGAGGTGTTCCAGGGTGGTGTCCCATTTGTCCTCTACAAGAATCAGAATTCAGATCCCCGAACCACCAACTCAACCAAGGGATACTCAGAGTGAGGTAGAGAGTCAACAAAAAAGGCTTGTAGGGTTGGAAACGCCAACGGGCGGGAAGGGTCCCTTCGGTATAGGACTCACTTCCGACTTTTCGTGGACATAAACAGACACAACCCAAGAGTCTAACGTCCGAAACGGATCTCAGGGAGTGAGAGATGGTAAGATCCAAAGTGCATTTGAACAAAAAACAACCGGCACCTCTTTTGATAGACAAGCCCCCCCCTCCCTGCCAAGGGGAAACCGGGGCTTCTGCAGCTCTATGAGGGATTCTGTGAGGGATGCTTGCCGAACCCTTGTTGGGCAAAGGTCACATCCAGACTTTTGGTGAAAAGGCAGGGACACCCGAACCTTGGTCTGAAGGCAAACCTTGCTGATACCCGAGATGAGAGGTTCCTACACTTGGGTCACATCATTTAGGTGGGACTCATGTCAACCAACCACTCGTGGTGCCCACTCTTAAAATTCATAGCCAAAAAGTCGGACGTCTGCCCGGCCAAAACAACAAAAACCGCGACGAGCAGCCTCCCGCCCCGCCTCCCAGCATTCGCATCCTCAGTGCGTCAGGCGAGCGGAAGCTTGCCGGTTTCCCTTTAAACCAAACAAAAGGACGAGCCGCCCAAACCAGATCTTGGTTCTCTTTGAGCAAACCTCCCGGCCGGAAGATCCGTTCCCCAGCCCCTCTTGTGAAAAGGTCCGCAGCTTGTTCTTTCCGCGTCTTCGAAGCCCAGCAAAGCGAAACATGCAACATGCTGAGGTCTGGAAAAAAGAACACCCCCGTTGTTTTCCCTTTGGGTAAACTTTGAGCAACAACTATGGGCTATTTAGCACAAACAAATAAACTACCCATCCCGTTTTGGCTTGGAACAAACTGTGGGCTTTTCAGCATGCAAAAGAACACACATATCCATTCACTGTTGGCTTTCCTTCAAATGAAAATGCATCTACCTGGACCCTCAACCTACCCATAACTTTGGAGCAATAACTTATTTTAAGTTGGAACTTTGAGGGTCCAGGTATATTTCTATAGTATCTATACTATAGATATACCTGTATCTTCTAACGAGCGATATTTTCTGTTCAAGCTGCTATTTGATACCCTTTTTGCGCTTGCGAGCGTTTTTTTGGCAAACAAGCGCTATTTAGTCTTCGAGCGTTGAATTAGCCAACTGGAAGGCTGCTTCGCAATGGAGTTGAGGCTCTTTTGGAGCACAGTTTGCGCAATGCGGTCAATGTTTTGAACAGAGCAGCAGCTTTCCTGGATAAAACGTACAAAAGCGCAGTTTTCCGCCGCACACGCGCACATCAATAAGTGCTGATTTTGTCACGTTCGGCGCCCGCTGCAAATCATGCACATGAGTAGCACAAAGACTCAACCCACACGGTGGACAGTTTCTTTTTGTCGACATCCCTATCCGAGCTTTGCTTTCTGAACCGAGCGCTTTTCAGATAAACGCTCGGTAATCTGCACGAACGGAAAATAACGCTCCTCGGAAGATTCAGGTGTGTATATATATATATATATATACAGTATATATATATATATATGCATATATATATATACACATATATAATTATACATATTTATAGAAATATATATGTATATTGACATCTATATATATATATTGACATAATATATATATATATATATATGTTGACATATATATATATATATATGTATACATCTACGACGCCCATTCACCGTACGTTTCCCTTTGGGACCCAAAAACCTCGCCACCGACCGCACCCAACTCCCGCCCCAATCCTTGGGCCGCTGGCCAGGAAGGCCGCCACCAGGACGTCCGCTTGGGACTTCTGCTGCCGGAGCTCCCAGCCGGCGTCCAGCAGCAGCTGACGCGAGGTCCGGGGGAGGCCCCGTGGGGAGCGGGAGAATGGGCGGGCAAGCCCCACCCGAAGTCACGGAAAAACACGGGGTTTGGTGCGTGTGTGTTCTTGGTTTTAAGGGAAACCCCCCCACCCAAATGAATCCCTCCGAGAAAAAAGAAAAAGAAGAGCCCGAATAGCTTGGCTAGTGGCTGTATACGGTACTTCAAGACTAACAGTTAACCCCCTGCCAAAGCCAAACCACGCAAAGGACAAAAAGGACATGCACCACTGGTCTGGGTGAACCTGGAGCCCAAACATGTTCAGAGGAATCTCGGAATCTCCTTTTCTTCCATTTGCGGATACGTCCTATGGAAAAAACAAATAGTATTTCCAGTAGATTTTACAACCAACAGGAAGCAATATGTTTACACGTTTACATACGCTAACAGACCTTTTTTGGGGTATGCCTTGGGATCCATGTTGACCTGCGGAGTGAAGGATATGCGAGGGTTTGCCTTGTCAGCGCCGAATTCCAGACATAAGTTGGACTCTCTCTCCCTCTCTACAGACCAACACATCGAAAGGTTGGGCTGCGGTGGCATCTCCGACCATGTCAACAACCAAATTGAGCATCAGCCATTCAAAGAATTTCGCAAATGCAGCTCACATGCTGAAGCCTTCTTCCCTCGTCACCCACAACCCACGCAACACTTCCAGCTCGAACTGCCCATGGCCCGCCATCCAAGGGTTGGGAAGTCCTGACATGGTCCAAAACATGGTGGCTTAAAGGAGAGATTTCAAACGTTCTGCAGCTCGACACGAAACCCAAAAAAAAACCTGATTCTAGAGGAAGCCCCCCTTTTGGGGAAATGGATCTCCATTTTGGGTTCCTTCGGTTCATTTGCACGGGTTCCTTCCGTTCATTTGGGGAGCGGTGGCCTCTGAGTCCCCTCAAAACCGCCAACCCCCTTGGCGGTTGGAAGCCGCGCCCCGCGCCTCTCCTTCCGGCAGAGTCTCCACCTCGGGCTCCTGGCCGGCCGATCTCTCGCCCAAGGCCGTGAGCTTTGAAGGGAAACCACACTCGCTGCGATACGCAGGAATGAGAAATGGAATGACCCCTATGGTGGTCAAGGGAACGACAAAGGAAACCACAAGGGAATGACCCCTATAAACCGTCCAACTGGTGGTTTCCTTTAAGGGAACCAATTCCTGGATTCATTCCCTCATTCCAACTTATCGCACCAGCAAGCAGAGGGAACAAAATCAATTTTGGGGTCTGTTTTTGGACGCACCCAAGTTAAGAAAAACCAATGGGTACTAATTTCCATTGGGGGTGGGAGGTGGCCACAACTGAGTTGCGCAAGACAGGTTACTTGTCCAACATGCCCTTTGGTGGACATTTGCCTGGGGATTGATGTCCAACCATGTTCAAATAATCTCAGCAACACTGCACTTGTTCGCCCTCAAGGTGGATTCCCCTGGTATCACATGGCAGTTTGAAACCCGCGCTTTCCACAAAGCCACAAACCACAAAGATTCCACAAACCTTCCGCGAAAGACTCCCTTCCGCGAAGCCTTCCGCATGCTTCCGTTTCCGGTGGCGCTGTGCACATGTTCAGTATATACAATCATGTCCCTCTCACCCTTTCCCAAGCTCATGACTATACAATAACGGCCAATAAAGCGTATATACTAGCTTGCGGCCAAAAAACAAAAAACCGCCGCTCACCTGGGCAAGAAAACGCCACAGCATCGCCTTGCGAGCCTTCCATGGAGTGATGGTCAAGTTAAGGTGTTCCAAGGGCCCCAGAAATGGGCAGTTTACCTTTTGGGCTGACCAAACATGACCCAAGCGAACACCACAAGATCAGATCCGGTCGATTCAGGTGAGCATGTCAACCCATGGCCCATGGCCGTCTTCAGTCCCTTGAAAGCCTTCAGATGTTTGTCGTTTTGGGCATGTGGTTGACACAAACAGGGGTCACCCTCCAACCATCTCGACTGAGTGCGGAGTCCCACAAAAGCCTCAATGGGTGGCTCGTCTGTTTTAAGGGCACCCCTAGAATGGGTGGGTTTCCTGTTGGTGTCCTTTTGAAACCACCAGAAAAGACGTACACACACACAGAAGACCAACACCTACGCACACACTTTCGAACCAAGCTTTAGGAGCAAGCGCGCGGAATCCTTTAGGCGCTCACGCAATTTGCCGCTGTGCGCGAGCTTCGAGGCTGCTCCTCTTAGTTCCCAATGGTCGCCACCAACAAATCACTAGCCCTGTACTACATGTTGCAAGGAAACTGCGCACACCCAACCCCAACACCACGCGAAATCGCAGCAAACTAGAAGTTTCCTTGTTCCCCTAGCATAGTTAGCGCATCCACTGCGTCATAGGTTTAACCGCTCCGAACTCCTAGCTTCGGGGCTCAAAAGCACTGCACAACCATTTCACACGCGAAAACCGTCCTTGGCTCTCAGCGCAGCTTCCTGCGGCGCGACGGAAGCTGCGGCTCGGATTTGGATGGTGCCGATTGGTGCTCTCCAACCAGAAAACGGTGGGGTGGGGTGCAGCCAAATCTTGAAACGTCCAACAAACACATGGGCGTGGCTCCACGTAAAGCAACCAGACGACCGCTGGTTTTACTTTTTCGTTGTTTTGGTGCATCTGTTTGACCCACAGCCACATCTTCACTTTACTGAACCCCGGGTCAGCAAGTATGAGTTGGATCGGCATTGCTTCAGCCAGGATCTGCAATCCAGGGCCGGCCACGGCTTCCTCTTGGATTCGCTTTCAATGCCACCCAAAAGCGAGGAGCTTCGTTTCAGCAGTGTGGCACCCATGGGCAGCGAGTTAAACAGCGCCATACATGGCTGCGGGTCAAAACTGGGTACCCAAAATGGAACCCTGGGAAATGGAACCCATGACTAAAACAGGCGGTCCCCTGATGGTTTAATTTTGACCCACGCCCATATCGCCATGCTCTCTTGTGTTAAAGATTTGTTCCCCTGCGACCGTGCTTTCTCAACCAAGTTTTTGTCTAACGCCTTGCCTGGCTGCGTCCAACCCCCAGCCAACAGACTCGAATCCCTGGGATATACCAAACTTATGGTTGGCGTGGAGATCCTATTTGCCAATTTGACTGCTGGATTTTCAAAGCCTTGGCATTTTTGAGTAAACGATCTCGCGTACTGCTCACCAACACGCAATGATGTTGTCCATCCACACTAGTTCCAAACACCTCGTTTATCCCAAGCCCACAATCTCTGTGGTAGCCGGGGTTCCTCAAGCCCAGACCAGCAGTGGCAACTGCTGTATGGTACTTAATTTCAAGAGGAACTTACCGAGCAGCTGCTAACCACCTATCAACCGCTGCTACCGGATCACATCACAGCAAACTTTGGGAAATAGGGGAACACCCCCGCCCGGACCGGACCGGTGAGCTCGTTTCAATCTGCCAAGCTACAGAACACTGATTAATGATTGATGCTGAGGAATTGACCTAGAGGAAAGTACTAGTGATCTTGAAGGCTGACTGGCCTTTTGGTGGGGAATCAATTCATTTTAGGGGGATTCCTCTGATGAGTGCCTGGCTGGTGCATCCTGGTGAGATTCTGCTTCATATTCAGAGTACCCTACAAATATATGTATATATGTGTGTATACGTGTATATATATATATATATATATCCATACATATTGTTGGAGACCCAAGCCAAATAGGGGACCAAGAAGGTGAGATCTAGGGTAAGGTTTGAAGGTGGGAAGCGGAACCAGGAAGGTCTGGATTTGGTCCAATCTGCTTGGGGAATAGAGTGATCCCACCTCAAAAAGAAGCTTCAGGGTGGGACCAACCGTCTGTTTCAACAAGTTCTGGAAAACATAGTGTACTTTGTCGACTGAACCAAGGGATCCCGATGAAAGAAAGCTTCATCATGGGATGGTTTGAAGGTGCAAGGAGCTTTACCAATCTGCCTGGGGAATAGAGTCCCACCACGGATTCCGAGTTAGCTCAAGAAGGGCACCCTAAAATGGCTGGTGTCCTTTGAGCTTGCCTTGAAGACAATCCAAGAAGGGGGCCCTCCAACCAAGACACACCCAATCTCTCGCCAACATCCCTCCACTCCTGGGAGTCAATGCTCGTCCGCAGCCTCTCGATGCTTGCCAGGCAGTCGCGCGCGAAGTTGTTGCGGTGGTCCACTTGCTCCTGTTGATGGTAGCATGGCTCAGGGGATGCACGAAACATGGAACAACATACTTGTATGTGTATAATCTCTCTCTCTCTCTAGATATATGTACTGCAAAATGCCATGAAATTAGCTTGGGGTCTGTGCTCTTTTCTTGGGGGGGGTACATTATATATATATATATATATATATACATATATGCACACTTTACTATAGAGCGAGTTTTTCTCTTAAAGCCCAACGCATGAACACTTCAAAACGTGTGTGTGCAAATAAAACGGCAAGTGCCCAGGCTTAAGGGTCCCCGGCATTTCCTGCGCAAAGTCCAGGAAAGTCGCCTTGCTCGGAGCTATTGGTGTTCCTTCCGAAAAGAGCGCTTGCACGGGACACACACACACACAAATCTAGGCTGCCCGTTTTCTGATCCCCCGCTAAAAGGGACTAACTGTTGATGGGTTAAATAGAAACTACCACGAAGCACTAAAAGGCTAAAAAGCTAAGGGGATGGCTGGGAGCCACCAAGAAATGGTTTGTTTCCTTTCGGTGTCCCAAAGGCCCCAAAACGAAGCATTGCAGGGCGCAAGGCTTGCCCCAAGTGAGTCACGGCCAATGAACCAGAGCGCCAGTAGATTTCCATGTGGGAAAAGAGGACGCTCTTTCTCGGGGTAGTTGATTTGAAGGGGCCAACAATCTCAAAAAACAGCCAAGGAAGCAACCGACTGGCAATCAACCAACATCGACAATAAGGTCAAAAGGTCGGTTTGCTTGCGAGCGAGAAGCTTGAGCAAAACGCTAGGTGTTCATGACCACCGCTCGGCAGCTGAGCATTTGTCTTCTGGTGGGTTCCACTTTCCACAAGCCAACAAAAACACCTTTGCAACCCTACGGCTGTTTAACCTAGCCTTAGTTCCCCCTAACTTACTGCCATGTCTTCATGGTTTTTGGGAATGCGTGTGTTAAGCTCGCTTGCCCTACCGAAGGCACCCACCCAGCCGCCATGGTCCCAATCCACAGTGACGCCTGAGACCTTCAGATCTTCGGGTCTGCTAAAAGCTGCATGCGTGCGTCCCTAAGCCATGATCCTGTTGAGTCTTGGCGGTTTAAGCTTGGGTGGCTTTAATTGACTTCTGAGAAACATGTTTTGCTGGGTTGTTCGAAATAAAAGAGCCCAACTTTGATTGATCCGTAGTGGGAAACCACTACTACAAGCGAGACCACAACCATCTCTCACCAGAATTTAAGATTGATGTTGAGCAACTTTCTTGGGTCGTAAGGGAAACGAAAGGGAAACCGCCTACTTTGGACGAGAAACCTGTCTTGACCATTGTTTCTGGACCTCCCCAGACCTTTTTGTTGGTACTTCAAAGGGACTCCCCCCTTAAGAAAAACAACAGGGAAAGAAGGGTGACCCGCGCGCCGCCCTGTGCCCATCTGTCAAACCTCTCTGTCAAACCAGTAAGCTGAGTTGTTTGTCATTAGCATTTACCGGCAGTTTCTACCTCATGGTCCATATCTTTGGGACACTACACCACCTGTCTAACCGTCTAACAGAAATGCAATTTGAAAACAAACATAGAGCCTGCACAGGACACCATCCCCTCAACAGGGGGATGGCTGTGGCTCAAAAAACCGGTACCAAAATGGGTTGCCCTGGTCAGTGGAAACATGGAAACCTGCGGTTTGCCCCAGCTGCTTCATTTTGAGCCACATCCTTAAATGGTCTTCCACCGCTTCCACCCCCCCCCCCCCCCGGTAGGGTACCGGTTTCGTTTGGCCGGCCACGAGCCGAACCTCTCATCTCTCCTGCGCGAAGCAGCTGTGGATGGACTTCCCCCGCGAACGGCCCATGATGATCACCGAGATCCTTGGGCCCAACTCCTGCAGCCGAATCCGAGGTTAGGAGTGGCTGATCCTATCTCAGATGCCCAGTGGATTTCCATGGGGAAAAATGCAAAAAGGGCATCCGTGTTTTTGTTTTGTTGACTGAAAGGGAAACCCGTCCCAAAAAAAGGGGACCACTGGGCAACTGAGGGAGTGTTAACCCCGGATTGGTTGACTTTGATTGGGGGGTGCCCCTTTTGGTGGTTGGATTCAGACCACTTTTGGAACACCCCCCAACAATGGGACGGGTAAATTTAATCCTGGGTCAACACTACTCAGCTTCCCTCCAGTTGGTGGTTTCGTGGTTGAGGAGGGGTGTCCCATGAAACGCATTAACCCTCTACAAGAACCAGGGGTTCAAATCCCCAAACCACCAATCCAAACCGCCAACTAAGGGCTACCTGAGATCGTAAAGGGAACAAGGGCCCCCTGCGTATCATAATGTACCATGGTTTTGGGTTTGCTTGCAACATTTTTTGTAGACAACAGGTCACTAGAGCGAGTTCAAGGGTTATATCACAATACATTTTGGGAGGCTCCCGAAAGGGAGGGAGGGAAGGGGCCTGTTGCCTGCAAACCACCATTTGGGGCGGCGGAATTGGAGTCCAATTCTCACTTCCTGGACTGTCCCAAAAAGGTACAACCTTGCTATGAACCACACAAATGGTATTCTCAAAAAGTGACCAGTCCGAAAAGGAACTCAGGGAGTGAGAATGGCCAGAACTCTCGGGCCTTCAATGGCTAAGCCCTGCCGGTGCTGATGTCCTGACCCTTGGGTGGACGTCATTTAGGTGGAACCAGTTTTGTGACTCCCCATTGAAATTCATAGCAAATTTGGGTCTGTCTCAAAACGAGGGACCTAAAAGCTGGTTGGTGCTTTTTGGCTTCCCTTTCGAGCAACCCCAAAAAGGGGTTGGTCGGCAATGTCTTGGGACTGACAGGTCTTGCAACTTGACTCCCTATATTTCTCCCCGCAAGCACCCCAAAGAAAACTCATGGAAGAGTGGTACACAAGGGGATGAAACAGGGAAATAGGGGTATAAACTTTGATTCGGGATCTTTTGGACCTCATGATGGAGACGTACTGAAATCATGCATCACGGTGCACATAAGAAACCCTAGAATGATTCGATTCCACGAGGACACTACCAACAAACAGCGGGTTTAACCATGGTTTCCAAGTGGTACGAAATTGACTTCGAACCGTCCACGGTATGTCCAGCCATGCTTGAGAGGACCTCCCTAGCTTCGGCTCCTCTTCCACTGGGTACACACCATGCATGAAGGCCTCGTCCACATGGTGGTCGAAGGCGAAGATGTCGCCGTTCCTCTGCAGGAAGGACCTGACGTCCGGCCAGACGTCAGCGTCCCTTTTTTTCCGGGCTATACTGGGATAATGTGGGTTCATATGGGTTCCAGGGCCCAAATCCCTACCTTGAGCCATGCCCAAGCTTTCCCCGAGACTGGGGAAGTGAGCACACTTGTTCATAAACCTCCCTTGCTTCTCAGTTGCCCAAAGGACCTGGAAACAAACGGTGATCACCTTTTGGGGCCATGACTTAAAATGGACCAAACCGGGAAAACCAAAAGGTCAAAAGGTCGGCTTTGGGTAACTCAGTGGTGGCTTGGACCCATGTACCCTCTGCCTCAAGTCTTCATGACCCTTTAAAACTGGGGTCATGACCACTTTATTTTCAGTAATGACCCCGTTTTTTAAGGGTCGTGGAGACTCCAGGTACAAGAACCAGAGTTCAAACTTAGACCAGAACCTTAGACTTAGACCATCAAAACTGACGAATGACCTCTCGTTGAGAGGGAACATGCCGGACTCCCAAAAGGGCAAACCAGACCGGTCAGTCGAGTCTGGCAAAAAGGACCTGCAACTTTCCCTGGGATGGTTCCCACGCATCCCTGTGGGTGTATGCAAATATACATATATATATATATGAGCGACGGCTTTTATTTGTTACATGGCATAATGGACGGGTGTTCCTGACTCGTTTTCCAACCCCGCGCTCGGTCGCAGCCCCCTATCTCGTTTTCCAACACCGCGCCTCCTTTGTCTCCTTCGTTGTTGCCGCACAACCTTTCGCTAAGCAAACTGCTGCTACACAATTTGTTGAAAAGTGATACTTGAGAGGAGGAACTGGGCCAATACTCACTTGGACGCTGTAGGGGGCTCGTGCTGAACTCGTTTTGGAACTCGTTTTAACATGGCCCGCTTTTGGACGGCTGAAAATTGCCCAGGGGCACATCTTGAACAAACCAGCTACGCTGCTTCTTCGCAAGTTTGGTTCACACCCTTTTTTGCCGTTAGGCATCGTAGGGTTGGCCAGTACTTGCCCCGGAAAGTCTGTGGTAAGTTGCCACGGACCATGCGACGTAGGTCGTCTACTCTACACTACATCTAACAACCTTGAACCCAAGACGCTCTGCCAGGCTGCACTTGCCAAAATGTCATCCTAATCCATGTCAACATGCTTGTTTGCCCTATATATCTCGTTCTCGGGGTGTTCCCCAACTCGCTCTGCGGCTAAATATGCACATTTCCAAAACATAGTTCCAGCCCCTTGCATGTTTCCATTAACGTAAATAAAGTCAGTCGCTCAGAAAACTATGCTTGAACATGGTGGTACTGTGGATGGACGAAATCCTGCACCACTTTGAAACCATGGGTGGTGCTGGATTTCGTCCATCCACAGTACCAACCAACAACGACTATAAATGTTTGCTTTTCACAGGATACGGCCTGGTTTCCATACACTACTACATCGTACTCATTGAATCAACAGTTTAATGCCGGTATGCGTCAAAATATGTTGTTTGGGTGTCCATTCACACATATTTATACCAAGGTGAAGAGGGTAGCAACTCCAAAAAAACACGCAAAGGGGTTCAACCATTTTGAGAAATCCCCACAGATGGAAATGAGTTGAAATTAACAAACCTCTGGTGGGCATCGTTTCGGTTGGATTCATGTCCAAGTATTGTTTGGGTGGTTCCAACTCTTAGAATGTGTATAGCCTTTTTTTCCTAAATCCCTAAATCCCCGTGATTCCATTTACCCACAGATAGGTAGCCAAAGGGCTTGCCATCCTTTCAAAGCCAACAGAAAAGCTGGTTGGTTACCTACAATATCCTGGAGTTCAAACCACTTTTGGTCAAGCCTTCGTTCAATTGGGGCTTGAACCCCAGGGTATCTTGGTCAACATTCAAACCTAAACCTAGGATTTATGCCTTTTCTTTGCTCATTCAGTCAAGGGTAAAGATGCATGATGGTCCCAAACGTTGACCCAAGCATAGCGGTGCCTGCTTTTCCGTGAGGCTTGGGATATGCAAAATCCAACGACCAAGTGGTTTCGGCCGGAAAGGGCGTCCGTCGGCCGCCTCTCGGCCCCGGAGGCTTCGTGCTGAAAGGTCAACTTCCTGGCCGAATGTTGCGCAGGCGCCTGGTGGGATCCTGTGGATGACTTTCCAACCCAAACGGTATGATGGCAAAGAACGTGTTGCTTTTTGCGGCCCCCCTTGCTAAGAAAACAACAAAACCGTGAAAACCAAAAAAAAACTGGAAAAAGAAGAAACAAAAAACAAGTACCACAACACATGCCAACAACGGCAAAGAAGGACACAACTCCGGATTCCATCCATCCAGAGTAAACCACCAGGTGTTGAGTTGGGGGGGTCCTAGTTGTGTGGAGTCCACCCTGTTCATCCCTTTTTGTTTGGTGGCTTTACTAAAATTGCAATCGCCCCCCAAGGGTTGTCTTCCCGGGGTGGGGCGACGGGGGGAAGAGTCCTCAAGGAAAACGCTCAACCTTGGCCCTGATTTTTTTAGTTGGTGCCTGTTTTCGCGTTTGGCTTTAAAAAGGGACACCGAGGAAACCTCACCAATTCGGAGGCCCCCCCAAAAAAAGACACACCCATAGTTCATTTGCCCAAAAATAAACCAACAAATAGAGAAGATCCCGGCAATCATAGAAGCGGACGATCTGAGCTTTGGAAAACTACATTCCTTTTGCGGAATCTCAAGGACATGTCGGCCAGGGAGTCCGGTGGTTTGTGTGCTCAAAAATCAAAGATTCCCCCCGTGTCATGTCAATTTTTGGACATAGACTACTAGAGCAGCAAACAATACTACCGCCAAAACCGATACGAAATGGACTCTGCAGAATCGCAACCCATCAAGCAACGCAAAACAAACAGGAGCCACCCCAAAACTGATTAATATCCTGGTAATGTTGTCAGTTTCTCACATGTTCCCTGTAGGCATACTTCTAAGCAGAAACATCTCCTTTTGGCTTGCCTTTGGGTAAATCAATGAAATATGTTCTTCTCTCAATTTATGTCCCATTTACCACCTATGAAGCTCAGCAATTCAGGGAAAGTGTATTTGAGTTCAGGTGGACTCGTTTAAAACCTCCAACAACGAGGACAAACCGAAATCATCCCACCCACCAGGGGCGCCCCAAAGCGAGCGCGCAAGGCGCGCGCCACCCGCCTGGCAGCGCCGAAGGATGCGCCGGCCGTGATGTGCCACTCGGCGTGGCCGTCGTGGTGGAACTCGCAGCCGACGGAGCCGTCCTTGCGGAGCGAGCGGCCCGCACGCAGACACCGGGTAGGGGTGATACTGTGGATGGGCGAAATCCATTTCGCATCACCCAAGAAACCCTGGAATGATTCAATTCCCCTGTAAATACCGACAAACAATGGCTTGCCCTGGTTTCCAAGCGCCCATCCAGAGTAGTGGATCGTGGGGTGATGGTGGATGGTGGGCTGATGGGGGCTGATGCTGGGCGTGGGGCTGGGATGAACCCATTTGAGTGAAAGGACCTGGAATTGGTAAACATCAGCTTCCCAACTTGGTTTGTGAGAATCAGGGGGCGTGTTCGGCAAGGTCGGACAAGTTGACAACCAGACCATGATTCTCCCCTAGTAGCCTAGGGAATCAATGTCCAACCAAACTCGCATAAGTTGGGTAATAGTTGGGTAACAGTGCCGGCGGCGTGCGTGTGCGCGTGCGCGCGCGTGCGCGTGTGCGTTTGCGTGCAGTGTGCGCGAGTGCGTGCGTGTTGAGATTTTATTGGCCGGGTCAAAGAGAAGTTGCCATGTCCAGTTCCTGATTTTACGATTGTTGTTTGTGAACTGGAATACTGGAACTTCAATGGTCCATTCAGCGCAGCTTCGATTAAATCGGCTCTAGTGTGATGTCACCAGTTTTCCCCCTCATAGCCGGAAGCTCTAGGGGCTTATAGGGGCTTTAACTGCAGACAAAAGCGGAGGCGGGTGGAACACAGTTTCCATTTGTGCTGTGCCTTTTTGAATGATGAATCTGGGCTTAAACTGCTACTGTGGATGCACGAAATCCTGCACCACCCAAGAAGCCCTAGAATGATGATTCCCTTGTCAACACCAACTAACTAGCGTGGTTTCAAAGTGGTGCAGGATTTCGTCCATCCACAGTATGACTCCCAAGCTTGAAAAACCGGAAGCCAACCCAGGAATGGACCTTCATCATGAGTAAGCTCATTTCACCAGAGGTTGTTGCAATCTGTCCAGATCTATCGGGGTGAAGCCTCAAAAAAAAACAGATTGCTTCCCTTGCAAACTGGGTCCATCAAATTGACATCCGCAAATTGTTTGTCTTGCTTTTGCTCTAAAAGGACCCTGCAAGAGTAATTCTGAGAACCCCGACATGTTCGGAAGGGTCCGAGTAAAACCTAACGTGGAAAACAGCAATCCCCTTCAGCCCCCGTCCAGCCATTGTGAGGAGCACATCCCAATCGGTCCGGTCCTCATAGAGATTGGCCCACCATTGCCTCAATGCTGGTATCCGGATTGACCCTGCTAGAAGGGGACTCCAACAACCAGGTGCCGAACTGAAGCTCTCTTTTTGTGCTAAGGGGACGCCCACCAAGGAAGGAAAAAGGGGTTTAGAGGGTTGAACAACTGGGTCCTGAGCAAGGTCCGCGATCTCCACGGCACTAAGCTTGGCTGACAAACTTGATGGCAGCGGATAAATACATGCACTTGGTCACAGCCATAAGACTGAGACCTGTCAACTCTACGCAGGCCCCCTGGAGTTGCCCTTGTTTGTGGCCGAGTCCTTACACATGTAACGCCATTCCATGCATTTCTGCACACCATTCTTGAATTCTGGGACCGGCCAGATGCTTCAAGGTCAGCCCTCATGCCAAGAGCGCAGCAACATCACCAATAGTGAGAGGAACAGGAACACCACCACCCCTTCTCAGAAGGCAAACTTCCAAACTCGGGGTTGTCCTCTGGGAACTCGGAGCAAGATGGCCTTCCAAAAGGGGCTCCCACGAGCCGTGCAGCTGAATTAGAGATGTGCGGGAAGCCGCTGGGGATAAGGTTATCCCCAAAAAAGCAGTGTAAATGGGCGGATGGAGCTGGGGGGTTATCCCCAATAAAGCGGTGTAAGTGGGCGGTCCATGTTGACCCCCCCCGCAAAAAGTTAACTTTTGGGTGTTTAGTGGAAAACCCCTTGATTTTCCAAAAAGTTAAAGTCTAAAGATCCAACCCAATAACAGTCAAGCCATTCGGCCCTCAGTTTACGGGTCGGCTGAGTCGGAAACAACTCTACCCTCAAGAACCAGGAGTTCAAATCCCAAAGCCACCGAGCAAACCACCAAGGGGGGCTTATCTGAATCTGGGGCGGGGCTAGATTGAAGGGAAACCAAAAGGGAAAGCCACCAATGGACGAAACGAGGCTCCTTCTTCAAGATAAATTAAGTTTGTCCGATGCGAACTCCGTGATGGTGGTCTCACTGACGTGGATTGGGTAAAACAGCAACCATACTGTTCGAGTATTTCCACTCAGAATCCAAGAAGTGACTAAAGTAGTGGATGACCCAAACAAACTTTTTGTTTGCCACTGAAATGTGGGCCAAACCCAAAAAGTGACTCTTCAGTCCGCCGGAACGCGAGTACGATCACCGAGGTCCTTCTCCCTTCTTCGTGCCGCAGGTTCTTTGGGGGTAGATGTGGAACCACACCCTAACCAAGCGCCCAAATCCAAACCACCGAGCTCAAGGATGTGGCTGTGTCTAACTTTTTTCTAGGGACCCCCCCCCAAACAAAAATGGTGGCTTTCCTTTTGGCCTCCCTCAAAACCACCAAAGAAGAGGGTACCTGCTCAAAACAAATACACACCCATGTTCCTCCCAAACAAATACAAAACAAATGTTGGCTTTCCTTTTGGCCTCCCTGAAAAAACTACCAAAGAAAAGACCCATGTTCCTCTTGTGCCAAGGAACGTCACAGCTGCCAAGCTTCTAGCCAGTTGTTCAACCCTCTCAATCCCTTTTCGTTGGTTTGCACTTACGAAGATGGTGAACCTACAAAAAGAATTGCAATTGGGCGAAAGTATATGGCACAACCTCCGCATGTAGGTTTTATCAGCCGTGGTCATGCGCTATGGGAATCTGGGCTGTCCTCAGATCCCCTACTAAAAGTGACTAACTCCTCGTGGGTGAAATACGGACAACCAACAATTAAACCAGCTGAAAACCTCCTAAAAACAAACATTGAACCGGATCTTGCCACCAATGAAACAACTTCTCATCATTTTCTCCTCCTGTCCACGTTGTCATGGAACCCAAAGAACTGGTCGCTGCAAAAAGAGGGACACCCTCACGGCCACACCCTGCATTTCAATCAACCATTACAAGAATGGGGGTTCATACCTCAGGATTGTCATCATCTTAATTACTTGGATCCTGGCCATTCGTTTTCAAGCTCGGTTGGCGTTGGAAGGGGAGCAACAAAAAATGTTTTAGCAGTTCAGTGGAGATTTCCCACTAAACCACAATAAGCCAAAATGTAAAATGCTTCCCAACAACAACCATGCAAGGGAGTTTGAACCCTACGAGGCGCAGCATCTCCGCGTTCGCGACCTCCTCCAAGCGCCTCAGCACCTGCGCCAGCAGAGGCAGCTTCTCCCCGTCGGAGGTCTCCACCTGCTCACTGCCCAGGCCGTTCCTACCGAAGGAACGAGGCGGGGGGAGGGGGGGGGGGGGGTGAAATGAAACAGGTATACATAGAAATGAACAACTAGACGGTGTGTATATATATATATATATAAATGGTATGATGGGGGGGGGGGGGGCGAGAATAATAAATATATATATATATATAAACATGTATAGTAGTCGCAAAATATAGTAACTAGGGGGTGTAGAAGAAGCGAAACACATACGGTTTCCTTTGGATAGACTAAAGCAACTGGGCTATTGATCGCACCCGGTGAAGCGAAGGATCCCAGTGTCCCTGCCGGAAAAATCAGAGTTCCGCAAAAAACAGGGTTTGCCTTTCAGCCTGGGGAGAATATTTCGGGATCCTCACCAGGACCCAATGGCCATCCAATGGTTTGTGTGAACTTCGTTGGGTTGTTGTTGTGCCATTTGGCTGTGGCTCAAATAAACAGAAGGGGTTACGCGGGTTTTGGTCCATGTGTCCCACTTACCAGGGTTCCATTTAGGTACCGGTTTTTTGAGCCACAGCCCACAGCCATTTGACAGTCATTGAAAATTGCCGGCAAAGCGGGCTCCCTTTATTTCCCTCTGCGTCTGTCTTAGGATTGATCCGGAGGCCTGCTTGTTGAAGAATACAGATAATTTCCGTCCTCATCAAAATCCACCCCACCCCCACCCCCACCCCCACCCCCAAAGCCCCCACCCCCAGCCCGGTGACCCGTCCTCCAGGGGGTCTTCCACTTGCCCTCGCTCTGTGGGCGCCAGCGCCCGCTGAAGTTCCGCTGCCCCTTCCCCAGCTCCAGCTGCAGCTTCTCGAAGAGCTGCAAGTCGCCCTGCCGAGAGGCGAACCCCCACCCATTGGTTCCGATTTCCGGAGGACTGGCCCAACAAAGTAAAGCCAAGCTTTGGGTTTGCCACTAAAAATTCGGCCCAAGCCCAAAAAGTGACGATCAAGTCCAGAAACTCAGAGAGTGAGCCCATTGGTTCTCGTGGAAACGCTCATTTTGGAATACCAAAAGGAAAGCCCTTGCCGCTTTTTTAGGGGAGTGGTCCGATTTAAAAAAAACAGGTTGAGAAACCATATGGCTTGGGTTGGACCAAAGGAAACGGTTTGGGTTTGGGGGCAAGCGATACCACCGGGAGATTGACACACCCCTGTTGGACTGTGTGTGTGTGTGTGTTTGTGTTTGAGTGTGGGGTGGTGTGGTGGGGGGCGGGGGGAAGCAGGTCCAATCAAACATTACCGGTTGACGGCGGAAAGATACATGTTGCAAGATAAACCAGGCAAACCCTGTAAACAGCAGAAGGGAAGCGAGCGAATGTTTGATTCTGGGGTCTCCAAATGAGATCCAACACCAACCGAGCAAGGTACAATCGGGCATGTCCCCGCTTCGGCTTTTCGCTGTGACCTTGGTAGGAAAAGGGGATGGGCCCTCTGTGGGGTTGACAATTTTGGGTGTGGGGGACAAAGGAAACAACAACAATGGACTAAGAGGGTGCTCCGTAGCGGCACCTATATTTTTAAGTGGACCTCCCGAAATGTCCACTGAAAACATCACGGGACCCTACCAAGGGAAGTTACCTCTGGGCACACAAGTGATGCGTACAAACCACCCAAAGATGGATATATATATATATTATGTATATATGTAGTATGTACATGTATATATATATATATGTATACGCTGGTGTGTCTTTTTTAGGGGAACCACACAAAAACTGCCATCGGTTTTCCGTTTGGTTTCCATTTAACCTCACAATCACGGGGGTAGCCTGAAAAAGACAGACCCATATGGCAGCCCTCGTCAAATGACCCTCGTCTCCTCGGGGCACACGCCAGCAGGAGCATGCTTCGTGCCGCTCTTCAGGATCCGGGACCTCACTTGAAGGCCAGATCGATCTCAGGGAAACCGCTCAAAGGAAACCTCCCCTCACCGGCTGAGTGGATGGCCCCAAAAAAGTCCAAACTTGTTGTTTACCACTAAAATGGTCTTCCCAAAAAGTTTAAAGTTCATGAACTCAGAAAGTGAGTCCCATTGTTCAGCATTTCTCGGCACGATTCGGTTTCCTTTACAGGAACCCAACGTTCTGGGTCATTCATTCCCCACTGACCACCAAAAAGCCATTTCTGAGGGTTCCGTCCCCCCCTCCTCATTTTTGAAACGAAGCCATTCCAACAGATCTTCTCATGTCACCACGTGCTCGCGTGGACATGAGTTTTGATGGGGACGGAAATATACATTTCCATGTAAATGATGTCCACCAAGGGGAAATATGAGCAGCGCCAAAAGCTCATTCACTGTTGGTTCTGGATACATATTTATACAAGTCTTACTGTACACAATAGAAAGCCAAACACCTACTAAAATGACCAATGAAAATTGGTGTTAGAGACATTGCTCATGCTGTGGATGGACAAAATCATGCGCAATGGCATTTATAGGGCTTCATTCATTCCAACTGGTGCAGGATTTCGTCCATCCACAGTATGACGGCAGATAGAGCACGGGTGTGTCTTTCTTTGACGGTCCCCCTTTTGTTGCTTAGATTGAAAGGACACAAAAGAAGAACCCTTCATTTGGGTGTGTCTTCTTCTCCCGGGTCCCGCTTTTTGGTGTGGTTTTGAAGGGAAACCAAAAAGAAGACCCACCATGTTGCCCAAAAACAATGGCACATCCATGTTCCGGGACCCATTTTGCACCAGCCAGACAGCTTCTTGAGGGCGCCGAGTCCCAACCAAAAAGGGCACATCCATATGGCCATGGGTCAAAATCCGAATCGTACCCTTAGTGAACATCCCAATCCAACCACTAAGATAGGTCCTATGGGTGGTGAATTCACCTACCAACCAAAATGGGATCCCAAAACGGTTTTGACCACCAGAGCCCTATTTTTTGGCCTCCAATTTGTGCTGGGATCCTTACATTATACACCTGAACATTGCCTCGGCAATGGTGGTGTCCCTTTATTTTGGCGTTGAACAAGCATGTTTCCAATGATTGCAAAATGTATCATTTAAGGAGCCCTGTTGTGGTCCCCGCCTTTCGGGCCATCCCCCAGCCTTGGCCCCAAGCGGCAGATCCTCCGCCATCGCCGAGGGCTCGACGCCCGGCTCAACGTCCAGCTCCGCCAAAGGCCGCTGGTCCAGGCGCGTGCTGATCCAACCCTCCACCGGCCCACAGCCCACCAGGAGCCTCCCAGGCGGCTCGGGCTGTGGAGTGGTTACACTGTGGTTGTAGACCCATTTTTGTTCTTCAATTTTTTCTCCGTTGTTCTCCTTCTTCTTTTTTTTCTCTCCGGGGGGTAGTGGTCTGGCTTTTGTGTTGCACCATCTTAAGGGGAATGTCCAGGTTTTCGGAAAGTCAATATCTAGGTCCTCCAGTAGAGAGAGGTCAGAATAAGTTGGTACCCGATTGCTTTTCTGGTTTGTCTATTTTAGTAGGGGAGCCCTCCCAACCAAAAAAGGGGAGAGAAGGGCACTACTGGGGGACCCAGATATTGACCGCGGGGACCTGGACATTTCCGTTCAGAAGATGGTGCCAAAGAACCAGACCACTACCTCCCAAAAAAACATGGGGTCTACAACCACTGTGTAACCACTATCTAAAGGGTATACGCCCTGATTTCCCTTGGGAGTAGTGGGTTGGTGGTGGTTGCAACCATCTCACCTTACGAACATTCGACATCTTCCATAGGAACCCCTGGGTTTGTTGAAATGTTGGGAGAGTTAGACCTAGCGGTCTGTGGCGTCTGGCTAAAAGCCAACAACTTTTGGGGGATATCTAATTAAATCCCTTAACAAACCAAGAACTAGCAGTCTAAGGGTATGCCTGGCAACCCCCAAGCAGTATAACGAACCAATACAAGATAGCCAGACACAAATGAGTAAATGAATAAAACAAACAAGATAAAAGACATGCAGGCATAACAAGAAACAATACCAGTGAAGTCCGGAGCTGGGCGGAAGTTTCGAGTATATGGTGCCGGTAAACTGCGTGCCGAATTTGCTGACAATCTCCGCCCTTGAGTTGCAAAATGGTTGTGGGACATGGCCCTTTCTGTGTTGTCCAAGTGGACCATCCCACAGGATCCGCTTCGCGCTGAATGGGATGGATGAACACTTATGAAAACTCGGATAAACAACCTACCAGTCAAACTGCGGGAACTGGTCCACCCACAGCATGACAAGAGGGTCCAGCCTCACACCCCATGTTTTTCATGGGTTACAGCCCATCTGCCTCTATGAGTCTTGACCTGTAAAAAGACTTACTTGCAACCGGCCCAAAAAAAAAGATAACCACATTCCGGCTTAGAAAGAAGCGTAGTTCCTGCTCAACACTTGGTGGAAGCAACAGTTGCATGCATCCAACTTGAAACACAAATCTGGGTGGCTCTTCCGCCCTGAGCAGCGTGATTGAAGGTTTGATGGACGAGACACTTGTTTCCAAAAGGCCCGAGATCTGAGGCGATGTGGTAACGCCAAACACCAGCCATGTAAAACACACCCCCTAATCCCCTAATTCAATTGGAGTCTCAGAATGATGCACTCCTTTTGGTAGGTATTTCCAGGAAAGCCAAAAGGACACCACTCATTTCAGGGGACGAGACGTGTAAAGAAAACAAACTCTCTCAACACGTACTTTTGAGAAACCCTCAAGATGCGCGTCTTTTTTGCGGTGGCCCTAAAAATGGCGTCGGTTTTCCGGATAGCCTCAAAAAGAGACACCTAACTTCACAACCCTTGGTATGGCTTGGCAAACAGCTGCTTGCTTTTTGCAGACCCCTACTAAAAATGAACAGAACCAACAAACAAACACGAAACACTTGCCAAGAAAAGTGAAGCAACCATCCTCACTAGGCCTCAGCCGGTCGCGCCTGTAGTGGAGCCGCGCGCCCTCGGTGCCCAGCTGCTCCACCAGCGCCCCAGTGCTCACCCGGCCCAACGGCCGGCTGCCGAGCTCCGCCCCTGGGATCGAGAGACTCTGCCCGCCATGGCCATGCGGCCAAAGACCCAAGTCGCACCCGTGAACATCCCACTCCAACCACTAAAATAGGTCCTACAATACATGGTGCACCGAAAAAAATAAAAAATAAAAAGGTGGCGTTGGTTTTGAACCATGGCCATTTGTTGCAGCCCCTAGCGAAAAAGAACGGAACCAACAAGCCACAAACCTAGAAACATGCCAACAACAGTGAAGGTCCCCCAAAAGTCGCGGTGCGCGTACTAAAATAAGGAAAACAACCTTCGACAACCTTCTCGCCCAAAACACAATCATGTGGTGGGTACCCTTTTTGGGGTGATGCTTAAACCCACCCCCAAGGGTACCCGAAAAAGCGCAAACACTGGCCAGCTGATCAAAGTGGAAGGTTGGCCACTCCGATTTTCCATGATCTCTGTTGGAAAAGCACCACAAAGGGGACCAAATCCTGGTGTACCACAAGGTACGGTCTGAGGATTGCCTGTGAACAGACCGGCTTAGGAAGTGGTCATCCAGCACCCAGTCCTCAGTTGCCCAAGGGACCTGGAAACAAAAGGTGGTCACCTTTTGGGGCCATGACTTAAAATGGACCAAACCGGGAAAACCAAAGGGTCAAAAGGTCGATTCGCTTTGGGCAACACAGGCTTAGGAAAAAGTGGTCCAGCACCCAGTCAGATTCCCAGGAAGACCATCTTCCTCTGGACCTGATGGGTGCATGCTGGACAACATCCATCCACTTAGGTGACCCGCTGGCGGGTTCTGTCGTTGGTGGACGGGAGTACTTCAGTTGGCCCGCTCGCGATGCAGGTAAAGACATCAGAAAGGGAGCTCTGTTTTGGGATCATTTTAAGTGGGGAACCCACTTTATACAAATCAGAGTAGAGTGCCACCGAACTGAGAGACCCCCGGTTCACACCATACGTGTGGGTGTGGGGGACTTGGGATTCCTTTGAAACAAACAAAATCCACCAGCTATGACAGGGTTTCGCTTACATGGCCACACGGGTTCACCGTGAAACACGGAAGCTTGTATAATAATATCAGGGAGGGCTAAACACCTACACGCATCACTGTTACCATGACTCGAGGTTGTTTTGCAACTCATTTCTAATATTTTTGGCCCTTAAGGCTACTGTCAAGTCTAAGCTTTTATTGTGGTTCCAGCCATCACCAAACGAAGACACCGCATAAAACAACAAGTCCAAAAGATTGAACAAACACTTGTCAGGAATTCGGCACACTTGTCAGGAGGTCGGCAAACCGCTTCTGAAGAGAAGGATCCTGGAAGATCTCAGCCCAAACGACCCAGACATACGAGGCTAACCTTTTGGAACCAACAAAAAACTAAACCAAGACAACCAAAAGGTCAGATCCTCTCGATTCGCTTTGGACAAGTCGGGTAAAACTTTGGCACATGGTTAACAAGCTCTGTCGACCTTGACCGGGGGGGGGGGGGTAAGGTATGAATCCTGGTCCTCAGAGCCATAGAAATGGGTTTTGTTGCCCCCGGGCGAGTTTCGTTTTTGTAAGGGTAGGGTCCAGGGTCCAGGCTGCTACCTGAACCCTCAGGCCCTAAAAAGAAAAGACCTCGCCACCATACATTTAAGTCGATCTCGCCCATTTTTTGTCAGTTGGAATTTTGCTTGGGTCCAGGTAGCCAGCATCCATGACGAAACGGGTGGCTGTGCCATAGGTGTCCTTTTGGCAAAATAGATGGCCCTGGTCAACTGAATCAAACCAACCTAAACCAGTGCCTTCTATTTTTCACCACACTAACCTAAAAAAGACGCCTATGGGCACAGCCCGCCGCTTTGAGCCCCTGCGCCTTCTCGTACGATGAGGCCGCCCTTGTCCGCGCCCCCGGTGATGCGCCAGCGAGGCATGGCGCAAGGCGCGACGAGCGAGCGCGCTGGGGGGCCGTTGGGGGGCGTTTTTTTCCGGAAACTTGAGGAAGACCCGAACAAAGAAGCTTGGCTTGAAGGGCCGGAAACAAAAATAAAACATAGCTTTCTGAGGTACTTAGTTGGTTTGAACACTTCGGAATCTGTGAAAAACCCATTGTTTGCACACTTTGCTCATATGGGTAATGCTCCGTGACTGTAACATTGGCAGAAATTACAGCAGTCATTTGGTTGAACCCTTTGGAACCCAAAGAAAGTTGACTGGGTAATGTTTTGACACTTTGGGAAGCCCAAATGAACAACCCAGTTACAATGTTGGATCCTTGGCACCCAGAGGGTCCCTTGGTACCTCATGAGAATGGCTTTGGGGGGGTAAAAAGGGGTCTAAGTACCTCCTCAGAACGCACTTGGACCCTCTGGGCCAAAAGACGGTTGAAACATCGGTTCGGACATTGGCCCCGTGACTTGAGCTTGGGCTGTTGCCAGCGGACGTGTCAGTTGCCCCACTCGTCGACAACAAACCCCCGGTTTCCACTTACCCACCGGCATAGTTGTGCAACACCTAGTGTGCCTTCATAAATGCCTCTGTGTTTGGCCAGGGTTAACAGGGTTAACATGATGCCCCCCACCCCACCAAAAAATGAACGTGTATTGCGAGTGGCAAAAAACATGTGCAATGTTTGCTTCGCGCACATGTTAGAAGCATAAGGACTCTTGTCAAAGAGGGTCCGGCCAATTGGGCAGCCCTTGCCCAAAGATCCGGACTGACCTGTGACTTGTGCTGCCAGAAAAGGTCAACGAATCGGACACCAACAAGTTTCAGTGGCAATACTTGAGGAGTCCTGACAACAAATGCCAAACACTTGGAACATCAAAAGGTAAACCGATCGACTTTTCGTTTACTGCAGACAATGGAAATTCTCATCTAATCTGCTTCAACCATGAGTTTCTCGTTCAGCCAATCTCGCGTATGGCTCAGCCACCCATCCCCCAACACCCGGCCTCCCAACATGATTTGAACCTGAAACCGCCGGTCCCGGGCCCTGGGTAAAGGTCTACGTCATGAGTTCCCCTGCAAAAGGATGTGTCCCTTTCTTGTTGAACCTGTTTGGTGCGGTGTTGATTTAAAGGGAAACCACAAGGAAATCCACCTTCTTTCCTTTGGAACAAGCCCCCGCGGGCAGGAACCCCTTGTCCAGAAAGGGTGGAGAGTGGCCCCGTTGGAAACCCAGGCATGTCACATGGGTGTGGCTCAAAAATTGGAATCGGCCCAAAATGGGTTGCCCGAGAAAAAATGGACAAGACTCAAAACTGCGTTCTGGATCCTGGCTCTGGAAAGTATGAGTCATGTCTAACCTACTTGAGGAGGCGATCTCCGATCAACTTGCTACCCAACATAGAGGTCAGTACGCCCGGTAACCCATGTACAGCTGATATCAGATCATTTGCAACCCATGAGTACTCTACACCCCCCTCTACTAGCCATCGGTTTCGGGGCCTCGCAGGTGTCAATTGGGGGGGTACGAGCCACCGTTGAAACCGATCGCCTTGCGTATACTTTTGGGGCATCGAGGTTTGCATTTGCTAGAATGCAGAGAAGCTCGTGCCATGGTCAATGGATTCAGTATCAACACTCTTGGGCCAAGTTAGCCATTTGGGGTACTCCACTTACTTGGCTGACGTTGGCAGGGGAGCAACAAATTAAATTTTAGCAGTTAAGTGGCTGGATTTCAACAAACCAAACCACAAGAAGCAATCATATAACATATTTCCCAACAGCAACCATGCAAAACGGGGGGGATTTCGCCGGGTTGCAGGTTGCCACCGTACAAACTTGGCGAAGCCCTGAGGACCCCGGCCGCTCCGGTCGTTGCGCCTGGGAGCAAAGCGACGGATTGGGGGGCACGTGAGACGTCATCCCACCATGTTGGGGGGAAAAGAACCATTTGGGTACGACTCATAGCATACCCCCCAAAATGGCTGGCTTCTTTTGGGTTCCAATTCAACCACACCCATTTCTGTGATGTCAAAGTTGTCGAGTCCCATCCCAATGACTTGATCACTTTTTCAGCAATGTAACTTCGTATTACAGCATACCTTATTAACACCCGTATTTCGCCCAACCATGCCCGCTTCCTGGCGAATTCCATGGGATGTCAAGTTTGGGCCAGAGGAAACGACCCAAAAATGGGGGGGGGCTGGGTATCAGCATACACTTTCCCGTTTGTAGCGCTTGAATCAGTCCTCGCATTGTCATGCCCGTACATAAGCTAAAGAGTGGCCCTCCAAATTCCTGGAACTCACTTTCGAAGATAAAGTTGTGCACGCTGTCGGCAAGGCAAAGTATCAGGACCCTCCTCCCAAACCTACAAAATCATATAGGTAACTGCAAATGGTTAGAACCCCTTGAACCAACCCCAAAAAAGGTACCAACTCCAAAAAACAGACACCTCAAATGGGTCCAGGTACCTACAGCTATTTGCCATGGTTTCCCTTTAAGGTAAAAATGGGGCACCCTAACAAAACCACAACCTACGTATCCACCATACCCCCCCCCCCCCCCAAAACGGCCCCCTGCCAGCCCCCACCCCCCTTCCCGGTCCCCGCGCGCCTTGCGCTTCGCCTGCCTGGGGCTGGCGCCGCGGCTAGCGGCACTGGAGACACTGGTGCCGCTGACGCTGGCGATGCTGGTGACGCTGCCGCCTGAGGCATGGGGCCAAGCTCTCCATAGGGGACCAACCCCAATTGCAACGTTAGGCTCAGTTGCCCAAAGGACCATGACTTAAACTGGACCAAAACGGGAAAACCAAAAGGTCAAAAGGTCGGCTTTGGGCAGCACAGTAGAACCATATCAAGGGAAACCATGGCTGGCTTTGGCGTGACCGAATTGCGAAGAAACCCTGTGTAAGCACATTGCCGTTCCATTAAACCCACAAGAGGCGATCGACCTTTTGTTTGGGCTTGAAGCTACGCAAAAAAAAAAAAAGAAGACAAAACACTGGGATGTCCCAACCAACTTCGTAAGTAGGTTATAACACCATGGTGAGGGGACCCACCCCAATTACACAAGCTATAACCACGGGAAAAAAGGGGACCAGCCCAGTCATGTAGCTTAAAGTCCCTCTAAGTGGTGGTTTGACTGCTTGCAGGTTTTCCGCGGCCCCCTTACCATGGTTAGACACCTACTCACCAAGTTGGCTGGACATGAAGCGGTTTCTGACCTCTTGTGGGTTTAATGGAACTGCCACGTGTTTCCAAAGGCTTTCTCCGCGATTCGGTCACACCAAAGCCATGGCTTCCCTTGATGGGCGTGGCTCGCCCCACTCATCGGTTTCCCGCTCGCAGCAGTCGCGGTTTCTATCGCCTCCTCGTTGCGCTGTTTGTTTGCCACCTGACTGGGGCATGACCAGCTCACTTGCCCAAAGGATCTGGAAACAAAAGCATAACCTTCTGGGGCCATGACTAAACATCCAAGGGGAAACCAAAAGGTCAGATCAGGTTGATTCGCTGTAGACATCTGAAGCTGCATTTTTTTGCGGCGTTCGCACACCTTGACATGCCCGGGAGCGCGCACTCCAACCCCGGAATGAGTCGAGGTGACGTTTGCTTCAAAGCCACTGAGGTGGGTTTTCCATGAGCCAAACATGTACTTCCGTCAGACGTGTTGTGGGTCAGTCTTTCAGCGTTCCCTTTTTCTGGGAAAACCGGGGTTGTTTTTTGAGAACCCAACAAACCAGCGCTTGGGAGGCGTTCAGGTGTGAAGAAGTATGTCTCCCTGAAACAAATCAGCAATGGGCCGGGGTGCTTGTAAAGGGAACCCTTTTGGTCTCTGTGAAAGGCAAGCCAAAAGGAAACAACAATAAATTATTTGGGGAAAACACATCACCAATGGGCCGGGGTGCTTGTAAAGGGAACCCTTTTGGTCTGTTTGAAAGGCAAATTAAAAAAAAAAAAAGACATTCTTGGGGGCCCCGTTTAAAGCTTGAGATGGAGAGCCATCCATCCCCAGCTGTTGGGCAACTTTGGAACTGCTTCACTGCACAACATGCAGCCCGAAAAGCGAAACGGCCCCGTTTCCAAAAGGAGAGATACCGCTACTTTAACTTGATGAGTTTGGGGGCCTGTAAATCTACAAGAGATTAACCCATGTGTATTTCAATGGAGGCTCAGGTGGTTCCCCAAAGATGTAAGGAGCAACTTATTCTAGCAAAGACCAGCCATGTGGCCAACATGTTCAACTAAACGTACAGGGGACGGAGAGATACCAGGTTTCAAATTTACTCGGCCCAACCGGAAGAGGAAAAGCCCCCATTGCGGAAACTGGTAAACCAAATCTAGCTATGGTGTCCCGACCAGACATCCCATCCGCATGCCTCGTTGTCGCGCCTCGCGGTCGCATGCACGGGCAAAAGAACATCCCAGCCCTTGTTGATCTGGATCCCCCGAAGGACCATCACAGTGCCCCAGGTGAGATCTTGTTGCCAATGCTGGCGAAAAGAATCACCTAGGAGAGTTCCCCTGACACACATTTTCTGCGGCAATCGCCGCGGCGATTTGTTTTGGACCAGCTAACAGTTGAGCAGGGCCATTGAAACATCCTTCTGTTCCGAACCACCCCAGAGCTTATTTGCCCCTAAGGTTTTGGGTGGGGAACAATGACATCGCCCATATTCCTGAACATTCAGAAACTGAGGTGGTGCTGGTCTTCTGGCACCAATCGTCCTTCTGCACACCCAGAACGGCAATTGGAGAAACATCCTGTGCGTTCGCCAGTTCAAGATTCCACACATGTTCCTCAAACATCACCCCAAAAGCAAACCCCCGGACCCAACGAAAAAAGCACTCCTTTCTTGAGCTTGTCTTTGGGAATGTTGTGTCTGCTTTAACAGCCCCCCCCAAGAAAAAAAACAAAACAAATGGAAAAACAAAAACAACTTGCCAAAGACAGTGGGCTGTTTTGTGTGTTTGTGTGTGTTTAGGGGGGAAACATTCTAGTAAAGCGAACCTGGAAACATTCACAGAATTCTGAATA